GGATCTGGGGGGTTATGTTCTATGCTTTTTACAGGATTTATAGCGATGGTGGTATAGGGACAGGTCTGTAATAAAAAGGAAGTGTGTGCTCGCAGAATATATATGGTCTTATTGCCTCGGAGCAGTCCAAAGACCCTGTCAATTAAACCGACACAGTCCCTACATATCTGACAATCTGTGTCCGTCCGAGCATGAAGCATACCACGTATCGACTCCAAATAGCACAAAAACACACAAAGAGCAGTCATTATCACATCACAACATGGATGTGTGATCTTATTATGGCTGTGCTAATTAAATGAAGCCACTGAAAGACTTCCTCAGCTAATGTTTATCTGTAGCTAGGTTTATTGTTGAAGCCGTAAAATATTCACTGCACAAAAGGTCAATGGTGGAGATAGTCTTAGCTTGTTTGGATTAGGGTTCACGTGTGTTGTGTTCGACCTCTGTGTCTCTGGTGGAGGCTGGTCATTTCTGTCTCTCAAAGAGAAAGGTTAAAATAACACAGTTTGGTAGCCCAGCGCATCCTCCAGACTGGCATAATAGTGTTGTAAGATTGTTTATTTAATCTCATGTTAGTCAAGATTGAGATTCAGGGTCTTCTGATGATAAGGCTGACCCCAATTTGGTTGGAGAGATCTACAGCCACTTCTCTGCCAGTAAAGCTGAGTGTTCACTGCATGATTTTAAACTTCTCCAAGAAAGATTTCTCTTGTAGAGAAAATCAGAGCTAAACATTGTGGGTCTTAGGTCTGAAAGTGAGACAGGGATCAAAGACCAAAGATGAGCTGTGACTGATAGGTGTCTGATATTTTAGAGTCTTGGTGGCAGAGTGAACAATCGTCTCTGTGCGCCTGGGATTAATGTTTGTGGCCAGCTGTAAAGTGCTCCTCTGTAACAGCAGAAGAGCTCCACAGTAAATGGGGGACCATCTCTCCCAGATTCCTTTTCATTTACTAACTTATAAAAACACAGAAACACAGCTAGCATGTAGTGCTAGCCTCCCTTCACTGGTACAGTTACACACAATTACACTGTACTACACAGAGCCTGGAGCAGCTCTCAGCAAACTTTCACCATGACAATAACTGATATGCATGTGTGTTGTCAAATAATTGAAGTTCCTGCATTGGTTGTATAACAGCAGCACCTGCAGCTCACAGTGGCTGTGAGAGATGGAAAGTGTTTGCCATCGGAGAACAGAGGAAAGTACAAGACAACAGGAAGAGGAAGTGTGCGTCCAGGGGACTGTGCTGTTGTGACACTGGTGAGGTGCACTGTCAGGATGTAACACACTGTCAGCTTCAGCTTGGCACCTGCCTCAAGGTCATGGGCTCCTCCTCACACACACATACACACATGCACATCAGCACTGGAGTCCCCTGCCCCTCTGTGTCCCCCATTATGCCCCCTTTCGGCATGTCACATGTCCTGCCCCTGTGTTGCCCTGTCACTGTGGCAGCTGCCTCTTAGCAACCTCTCTCACTGTCAAAGGGTCTTACAGAAGCCATGACCGGCCGCTCCAGCAGCATTTACCTTAAAACCAACCAACAAGAATTTTAAAATGTTACTACATGCTATGCAGTGGTAATGGTAACTTTAATTCTTTAATTCTTTAATTATTTATTTTAAAATATTTCTGAATATATTAAAATCAATAGTCTGAATCTATAAGGCCTAATCACTAAAGTATGCTCAACATAAATATACCATCGGACTGTTTTAAAATCAAATAATTGCACTGTCCCTGAAATAAATAAATAAACAAATAAACAGATAGAGATTTTGTCACAACTAACCCACAAATATAATTTCCATCTCCAAAAATAGCCATGTAAAGTCTCTGAGCAGGATAAGTGGTGATGCTGTGTCTGTATGAATCATGTTCCACAGTAATCATGTACTATGTATGTTGTGTACTACTGGTACACGTGTGGGCAGCACCTGCCTCTGGCAGTGTCAGGTAGTCTCTGTTGTGTGGACGGCTGGCATGCTGTGCGTCAGTGATCACGCTGATCAAAGACAACAAGAGAAGAACAGGCAGCTCTGCCAGCAGCCATCAGCTGTGTGTGTCTGATGCCTATGGACAGGCCTCACTGCTGCAGATCATACTGCACCATTCTACAGGGAGCCTAGATACATGTGTCACATTTTGGGTCTGGTATTCAGTTATTGATCATCTAAAATTTGACACTTTATGTTTTAGTGTGTATATAAATTTTTTTTAACATATTTCATTTTTCAACAATTTGAAAATTGTTATAGGTTTGTATAGTTTTGAGGCTATCCTTTAAAAATTCAACATGTCCACTACCACAAAGAGTTTGTTTTCTTTGTAGAGGCCCCAGCCCCCACACTTTCCAAATGGCTTCTTTAATAATTTATCTTGTCTTCCTGGAAGAAGCCAGAAGGGCCACAGCCTGGATCGATGGAGATCAAAAGACAGTGTTTGGTCCAAAATGCAATCCTATCCTGAAGCCGCACCAGGACAGCTATTTCAGTGCCGCCTGCAGCGGGCGGAGCACCAGACGCACGACGGTTTGTTTAAAGGTGAAGGTAGCGGTCGGGGTCAGACATAAGTCACTGTGTGTCACATGAAACATTTGGAATCATGGTTCACGCCTGCAGCTCATGTCTCAGTCATAACTGCCTCTGAATGAAGAGGGCTGATGCTGGTCACATCACTGGGTTTTAGTTTTGATCTTCACTGATTTTCAGGATACTACTGGACCTGTCCCTCTGCCCTTCAGAGATGATTATGGACACCTTTGAAATCCTTCTTAGAGGCTTAAAACATCTATCGACATAAAATTATCCCTTGTCTAATAATCTGTCGGAAAGAAGACACCATTTGTTGTATAAGAGGACAAACTGTCTGAAAGATTAATGTGAAACATTCAATGTATAATTTCCACATCCCCTGAAAAAAAGCCATGCCACATGGTCAAATTAAACAATACAATATAACATTGGTAGGTCATTCTGTCAACCAAAACCACAGGGAAACATCCTGATTCTTGTGTGCTTACTGTGGTGATAAGTGCTGCTGTTTACAGATGGGGATGTGAGCACAATTTCATGCAAAAATGATTTCAGATTTGCACTCGTTGTATCTGCATAAGAACAAAGTCAACCGTGACAACATAAACTTCCACATTTTTATTTGTGAAAGTTTCATAAAAAATCTTCTATCTCTTGATTATTTTCCCCAGTTTTTCCAATACATTGGCATTCATTTCTTATACAAACTGTCCAGGTTCTTTGTTTCTGAGAGGTCTTAACACATATCAAATAAGCATACACGCTCATCAGTGACAAATGTAGCAAACTGAAAATATATTTTCATTGTGGCACTTGTGGCACCTGGTGAGCCACAGAAAGCATTTTAACATTTTGTAGAACAAGGGTACAAGGGTCAAACTGTGGTATGAGTATTTTGCTCTTTCTACAACCACAATAGTGACATACATACCACAATGCATGCAGGGACAGAGGGCAGGCTCATAGTCCAGTCCAACAGGTGAACTTTTGTAACTCTAATACTAACTAATAACTAAACGGGTAATGACTAAGTCTGTGTTTGGCATAAATGGTCCATATTTTAAGTACATACCCTTTTTTGACAATTTTGACAGCACTCTATTGTGTTCTTCAGCAGTTCCTGGGATGCAAGATGTGAAGATGTTTTATGGTAGATAGGGCTCTCCAAAATCAGCTTAAATCAGCTGATCATGCATGTCACAACACTTCTTAAGAAGGCAGCAGAGAGAAGCAAAAACTGTCAAGCTATGATAATAACATAGCATAATAAACTACAAAATAATTATTTTAGAAGACCTAATGAACCTAATTGGACTATTTGTATTTGGCAGATGGACACTACTGTAGATACATTAGTATAATATGCCTTAGTACATCACTAGAACATTGAGAGCACGTTTTAAGTTAAATTGTGTCTGTTTTCTATCTCCAGCTCCAGTCTCCTACTCTGACTTTTAGTGTCAGTGTGCTTGACTTTCTCTCTCAGAGGCTCTGTCCCTCTCACAGCTTCCTTTGGGCTAACCAGGCCCAACAACTAGATTAGAAACAGGGAGTGCGCTGCAGCTAAGGAGCAAGACAATCCCCATTTGTTGTGGATGGAGAAGAATGGAGCAGGAGCAGTATAGTCAAAGGAGCCAGTGGAGTCAGAGTGAGGCTGTATTTGCCTGAGGGGGAAAGGCTGAAAAGTAGCTCTCGCAACAGATGTGCGGGGCAGTAAAGTGTAATTGAAATGCCAGCAGCAATGGTCTTATCTCCCTGCTACAGGAGCCTGCTGCCAGTCTCAACATCAGTTAGATGTCATTTTACCTAAGTCTGAATCAGCCTGCCACAATCCGCAATCCCCGCTCCTCTGATGCTGCTCAGGAGAAAAGGAGAGAAAAGGGGATGGGGAGGAGGGGAGCGTGTAATAGGATTTCAGCAGCACCCAGTTAACTTCCACCACCTGGACTTAGTTGGTAATTTGATATGCTCCATCAATAGGATTCATTTACTTCACCGCAGTTTTACTATGGCTGCTCATTTGACTTTTTAAATATATATTTATTCATTTCTGTCTGCACATTTCCCCACCCAACTGATGGTAATCACAGATAGCAGAGGAGGGGGGAGGATTTTGCGGTATTTCCAGTCTGACACAAAGTCCTTGGTGTGGAGCAGGTGGGGAGTCAGGCACCATAGCTGTTCTCTGCGCTCCAGGAGAGGCTTAATGTTTTGGGCTTGGGAGCATCCCTCTGGGGAGGACCATAATGTCCTCACAGATTAGAGTTGGCCCTCCGCTGAATGCCTGCCTTTTATCCCCAACTTTGCTGCTGCAACATGGCATCATCTGCCACACATTAAAGCGTGCTTATCTTTTCACTGTACAACACTTCATAGGTCTGTTAATAGTTTTTTCCCTTTTTACCGTAAAATGTAAAACTGAACACTGTATAACTTTTTTTTTTTTTTTTGGTTTTCAGAGGGTCATCTTCAATGTCGTCAACTTCTCCAAGACCAAGAGCCTCTACAGAGATGGGATGTCTCCTGTTGTCAAGTCAACCAGTCGGCCAAAATGGTACTCTGTCTACTCCAACTCAAGTATTCCATTGTTAGAATTGCATGCTAAAAACTTTGTACAACTTTGACAAACTTGTTCCTCCCAACACTCGACATTCACGCACCCACCCATGCACAGCAGCACTCTGAAGACTGATGCCTCAGATTTCCGGAGAGGATGCGTCCGAGCGCATTAGCATGTGATCCATTGGTTGGCAGTATGACGGGTGTCTGATGTAATAACGTCTGACTGATGGATGCGGAGCGGAGACTGTAGTGTTTGTGAATGACTAGGTGTGGCAGGAGAGCGGCCCTGTGCACTGGGGCTCACACTCGTCTGCCAGCCTGCCTGCTTTCTCCAGCGGGGCGAGGCGGCTCTACAGAGTAGCGTGATGAAGTGTTGCCATCCAACACAAGCCTGACATCTGTCATCAACTGATGGAGGGCACCAACGTAACGCCAGGCATCTGCCACCCTGAGCTGGCACGTCTGCAGCCTCGTGCCCACACCGGCGTAAGCGTTCGTGCAGGGCGCAGGGTAATGGGAGCAGACAGCGGCCGTGACTCCGCAGACAGGAGAGATGAACTGCTGTCGATGAAATGGCACAGAGCTGCATCCTGCCGCTGTGCTGTCTTTTCTCTGTGTGAAGTGGCCTTTCAACTTTGCACCCATTTTCTTTAGATATGACCACACTCTTGTCTCACACTGACAAACATTTAGAGTGCAGCTGGCAAGCACTTAATATAAAGTGCTGCTATTCTCAGGTGAAGCAGTTATACTGTCTGAGCTAAGGCTGAAAGAAGACTATGTGACGCCATTGTATTTTGAATATACAAAAGTTACTTTAAAAACACTCTTTGCAAATGCAGTTAAATAACAATAATAAGAAATAAGTCATTCAGCACGGTAGCAGTCGCAGTCTAGGACTTAATCTCCTCACATGTTTTAATCTGTGTGCTTGCCTTTCTGGGTCATTTAAGTCTCCCAGCTCTTTTAAATGTGCCCCTCATGGCTGCTTGGCCATGTTTATGTTTCACTAAGCTCTCGTAAATAGGTGTTTAAGTGACAGGCGCAGCAGGGGGTACCATCACCAGGCCCAATTCCATTTACCTCCCTGAGCTAATATGCTTTTAAATGCTCCGCTCAGCACTGCCCCATCCGAGAGGCATCATGTCCCCAGCACTTATGCCACCATTTTCAACTGTCTGCTGCCTCCCTCATTGTTTGTGTCCCCAAAAGTGGTCAAGATGCTTTTAACACAAGACCTACTATTTGACTTTCCATGAGCAACAACAAAGCCCAGACAGCTTCTAAAGTAGCAATCTTCTTCCTGACAGTTACAGATATGAAATAAATAAAAATCGCAGAAAAGTAGAGAGCTCTGGCCTGTCTGATCCAAACTCACACAGGACACGATAAAGGCGCTGCCCGGAGAGACAGAGGGGAGAAAATGTACTAGAAGGGGAGATTACTTGAGACAGGGAGGACAGTTCCACCCTGGCTTGCCTGCATGTCTGAATCTATCATCAGAATTGTCAGTGTTAGCCCTGCAGTTGAAGCCTTTATCGCTCAGTGCAGGTGCCTTGTGTCTCGGGGCTGTGGCTTCTCTGGCTTTTGGTCGACACAGGGCTCGGCAGGATCAGCTATAACCTCCATGTTCATTGCTACAGGTGAAGGAAGAAGCTGTACCTTCAGTACAAGTCACTCTCACTGTCCAGGGTCAGTCCAGCTTTAAAACACAAAGCAATTTGAGGTGTATATGTTGCTGTATTTCTATTATTTCTATACCTGGTCAGTTTCATATTTAGATCTTTGTACAGGTCAGTGAGCAGCTTAAAAAGGGGGTGAAGAGTTTAGAGAGACCTTCAGCTAATGATTAGAGCAAAGAGCACAGCAGCACTTCAATGCTAGTTTGTAAGCATGATTTTAGCTGTAGTTGAAAGGTTTATTTTTGGAATCGACTAGTAAAATTATACATATATTTCTATTTCTTACAGTCTTTGTAGTTTTTCCTTCTTTCTTTTTTGTCTTAGTGAATTTCTTTTCAAATCCTCTATCATCTGACATTTAGCCATAGCCCAGGATCCATGTTTGATAAATAATGAATAATAGATGATCCAATTAAAATGGGACGACGTTGCTTTGTGAAATCGGAGACAGATTAATAGCAACATTTATTTAGTTCGCAGACACATCAAACAAAAGGAGAAATAGCTCTGCTCTGAGCTCACCAAAATGATAGATAGATACACTTCAGTAAGCCCCTTGGGTAAATACTGGGGTCCACTTGCTCTCACATAATGTGCCTTGTCATATTTTATGGTTTTGTTGGTGCTATTAAGGTGTCTTTGTAAGGCATTCTCAAGCTGACATTCAATATAAGTTGTCCAGGTGAGAGTACACAAAATAAATAGAATGGCTTTATCATTTGCTAGCCTGAAGACTTGGTGTGTATAAATCATTATAATTATTAAAATGCAACTTTAATATTGATAAATAGTATGACTTTTCACCCTCTTAAGCAATTGGGAGTGCAGGGAGTTGAGTTTTGAGACAGAAATATCCATTTTTCCTTGTTCTAATGTGCAGAAGACAATGGCTCCCTTGGTGGCACTGTAGGCACCAGCTCAGCCCCACTGGCCGCTCGTTGTCAGCCTGCTAGAGCATAGAATTGCCTGGTGTACTTCTATTCGCAGATAAGCTAATTAGAAAGTCAGGGAGCGTGGTGTATTGCAGCTGTTGGGGGCCAGAATGGTGGTGGGTAATGGCCGCCATGCTGCATGAGACCAGTCCATCAAGAACTGCAAATGAAACTTAGACATCAGCTAACTTTATGTTTAATTATATGTTTGGAATAAGCTATTTCTGTATTCTATTCATTTAACACAGATATATGTAACTGTTGTGCATCACAGAGCCTTTCTGTACAATGCCCAATTTACTCCCTACTTTCCTTTCAGTTGCTCGATAATGATCTTTTTAATCCTTTGATGGTGGTCAGCCCAGATACTTTTTATGGACCATGTTGCTCACATTCAAGGCACATATGGGTCTCTGGGCATATCTTAAACCTATGTATTACCATCGTACATCTGTAGATTGTGTAATATAGTGTGTGTGTAGTGTTTTTACACAAGTTTTACATTCTTATTTTGATAATCAATTTAATGCTGTATAGTATAATATATTATAGTATAGTATAGTATAGTATAGTATAGTACAGTATCTTCACTGTATTCCAAATAATCTTCACAGTTTTCCAAAAGGCACAGCCTCACTGTTGAACAAAGATGCTATCACTTTGGCTTTAGTATGTGGGGACACAAATCCATGTATTCCCATCATTTCCAGGCTATTAAACCTATGATTTATACTTGGAAATGTCCTGATGAGTGCTGCCTCTTTTAATTAACTTCCCCTTTCTTCTCCAGTCAGTAGGTGTGTGTGATTAAAAATACCCACACCTCTAACTGAGCAGGCAGATGAACACCCTGCGCACTAGGAAATGGCTGCCAAACATTGCGTAGAAAGTCAGACCCACCCAACCTTGATCAAGGGTAAATGCTTTCCCTGTGTTTTTATGGAGGCAACATAAAAACTCAGGAGTGCCTTTAAGCGTGCCGGCCAGTCAATCAGTTTCTCAGGTCAGTTTAGTTTTTCCTCTGGAATCCTTCTGTAAGTGTGTGATGCAACACAGTGGTGAAATTCCATTTGGAGACGTGCCCCTCTCCATCACACTGTGTGTTAGCAGTAATTGTTCTGTCAGTCAGCTTGGTCGTGGTGCGTGGATTGTCTCTTGTTAAGGCCTGGCACAGACTCCAGCACTGAGGTTGGCCAGAGGTAGGCTTAGAGATCTTTGTATGACACCTTCTCTACTATGTTCTTTGAAGGTGGACTTTAGACCTACTGTAGTACACCCATCTCAAATCAGGACAAATAATGGACACGAATGGGGTTCTAATGTAGATTATTTTTTGTATTTTACATTTACAGATAAGAATATTCTAGAAATGAACCATGGGTTTTGTTTGGCCTCAGCCACAAGTTGAATAGCTCTTCAGTATACAAAGATGCACGTCTGGTCACCAGTTGTATCTCCCCAAGTTCAAATGGGCTTGATTTGCAGTGGATTTGCCAATCAAGAACAGAAATGGTCTGTCCGTTTCGAAACAATTATAGGTACTTATAAGGAAACAATAAAAAGATCACAGCAGACAAAAAACATAGATTCAGTTCGCAAAGTTTAAAATGCTGTTTGATTTTGTTCTAAATAATAGACGACCAATGAGCTTGTTTGTCCTATGCATCACTTAAATAAACAAATCAGATTGTACGGCTTTGTGAGTTTGGTGTGAGATGCAGTCGAAGAGATAGTAACCAGACTAAGAGATCTTCGGTGTAGAATTTATAGGGAGAACCAGTCTGGATCCCAGGCATCTGTGGGCCACTCAGATGTGCTAGCCAATAGATCTCCAGTGCTTTAGCTCACTGATGTCCAACCACTTGCACAATTAGCTATGCATTTTAATACTAGACCTGTTTAATTGTCACAAAATTAGGAGTGATGTCAAATTGCTAATAGCATTGGCTAATTAATAGACAAATTGAATGCTTGTTAATTAAGGGCAAGATGACAAGGACTGGCACGGCTAATTTGAGCAATAAAACCGTGACTAACAATTCATTTCTAAACTGGTCACCCCCATTCACAAACTGTTTGCCATCTTTTCCTCAGTGCATGTTTGGAGTATGTGACTCTTATAAATCACAATATAGTCTCAGTGGAGGGGTGTTCAAAGCTATTGAACCATACTTATTCCCCATGTACTTTTTGTCTTTTATTGATACTAAGCACAAATTGCTGTTTCAGGCATTGCCCTCTTTGCTCAGCTTGAAGTAATTATACCTAAACAACAGACTAGTGAGGATTTACACATGTATAGTCCTTCTCAAGAGACTACCCTTACTGTCTCCTCACATCTATCTTTCTTTGCTTCACTTTAAGGGGTCTTTTATGGC